GTTTTATCAATGCCATTTATATGTCATGAAAGAGCTGTTGATATTGCTAAAAAATCAACAACTGGCTGCTTTTAGAGCTTTTTCCATCTGTTTTTGCATTACATCAATGGATATCTGATCCAAACACTCTGAGCCCTTCCTCTCAGACAATGCCACTCTGAGATGCCACAGCCTCTATTTTGACCAAAACAAGGAAGACATTGGATCCCTGGAAACAGAAAATCCCTACTTTTCAAATTAGAATAAACTGCTGTGAACATAATCGCTTTGGCGTGATCTGACCATAACCACCTGCTCTCAAAGCTGAAGTAGCAACCACAGCAAGAAAGAGCAAAGGCTTTATTCAATGTAATACATATTAATTGGAATTGATGCAGCTCTGCAAAATTTAGGTGGTAGTCAGTAGGCTACTCAAGTATGTTGTTTATTCAGAGAACAGAAAACTCTCAGTTGCAGTTGTTGTTAAATATGTTTTTTTATTAAAAAATTTCAGTTGCTAAAAAAAATTTGATTATTATTACTAATCATTCAGGAAACCGGTTTCACATCCAACCAACAACAAAAACACAATTTTGTGATTTCAATGTTTTATTTTAATTTTTAAATGAATAATAGAATAAATAAAATGAATAATGCTTGTTAACTACATATAAATTATACATATAATTCGACAGATTGTATTAGTATGGAACAGATTACTGGCTTTATAACAGAGGAAAATAAGTCAGTGCTGAATAATTAATGTTTAAGATTTAAGCAAACAGCTTCCAATATCCTAATACTTAGTGTACACTTGTAGTTTTCCTATGAAAAGGTCAATCATGGTTTAGAGTTAATACATAGTGAATGACGAACAAAAGAAATTATCTTGACACAGCAGAATTTGGGTAAATAGAAAAAACTTAAGGGTTTCTCTAATTAGAAAACTGCATTTATTTTCAGTTCAAATTTGTTCTTTGAATTTCCATGGTTACATCTTTGATAAAATGCTTTCTGAAAAAAGATTTGCTGCTTGTGCAATGGAAGATTGAAGAGGAAAAATAAAATATGATGGGATCAATACAGGTGTTTAATGTGCTGAGAAGCAAGGTGTAGTACTGCCATTCAGGGCTTTGACCCTGAATGAAACCCACTACATGAGATAAATTGAATGGGAGAACACAAATGAGAAACACAGCAAGAGTTCCCAAAGCCATCCCAATAGCCTTCCTCTTCTGCATCCAGGAAATCGTGGGACGGCTGAATAGAATCAAAATCAATCGCAGATAGCAGTAAATGGTGATTAGAAGAGGTACAAGGCACAGCACAAAGAAATACTCCAAACGAACTGGAAGGAGAACCTCCAGCTACTTCTCTGTGAAATTCTCATAGCAAACAGAAGAATTTGAGTTTGACAAGGATGGATGATGCTGGACAATGAATGTAATGCTGCAGTGTGCAGCTGAGATCAACCAAATAAGAGCACTGACAGTGATTGGGTACAAAATGTTTTTCAGTTGTTGTTGATAGGTCATAGGATAGGCAACAGCTATGTAGCGAACCACACTGATTGCCATCAGCAGCAAGGAGCTGGTGTAAATTGTAGTGAAGAAGGTAAAGCACATGATGGAGCACAAGACGTTGGGCAGAGTCCACTCCATCCCTGATGCCGCCTCGTGTATTTTAAGAGGAAGCGTGATTAAGAAGAGCAGG